CGCCGTCACCAGATACAGTCATGTTCTGTGAAAATGGGCATAAGGACTACTTTAATGTGTGAATTTTGCGGGAGGCAGTGAGGAGGGATGCCAGGCAGCTCATAAGAGAGAGATGCAGAGATACAGACCTGGGTCATCACAGAACTCCGGGGACACGAGCAATAACTGGAACCAGGGGCTCCATGAGAGGGCCTTGCCCACCTGGAGGCCGGCTCGATGCCTTCCCCCAGGGCCGGGCAGAGCTGGGGCGCAAAGGTGTACCTGCCCCCAGAGGGGAGAACCGGTCCTCGACATGGGAGGCGGCGAGTGCTGACAGCTGGCAGGAATTCAGGGCACTGCTGACACACGAAGGGGCTGCACTCAGGTATCTCAGGCAAGGAGTTGACCCTCCCCCACCACACACTGCCTCTCTGCGACCCCGTGGTCTGCCGCCCTCCAGGGCCCTCTGTCCGCGGATTCTCCAGGCAAGAACACTGGAGTGGGCTGCCATTTCCTCCTCCAGGGGGTCTTCCCCGCCCAGGGATCAAACCTCCTCTCCTGCATTGCAAGCGGATTCTTTACCACTAGTGCCCCCTGGGAAGCATTAAATGCTATTATTATCACTGGGCTTCCCTGGTAGCTAAACTGGTAAAGAATTTTTTAGTATTTCTTTCTTTATTTGACCGCACTGGGTCTGAGCTGCAGCACATGCAATCTAGTTCCTGACCAGAGACCTAAGGCAGGCCCTCTGCAGTGGGAGAGTGGAGTCTTCACCACGGGACCAGCAGGGAAGTCCCACTCCAGTATTCTTGCCTGCAGAATCCCGTGGACAGAGGAGCCTGGCGGGCTACAGTCCACAGGGTCGCAAAGGGTCGGACAGGACTGAGCGGCTAAGCGCACACAGCATTTTCCGCACCCCCGGCGGGGTGTGGGTGGCCAGGCTCCTTTCGGCGGTGTGCAGGGGCGGGGCGGAGGAGCAGGGCGGCCCGGGCTCACGCCCCCCTCGCCGCCGCCACCCCCCAGGCACGGTGCTGGCCCTGAAGCAGCTGCCGAAGGCCTCCACCACTCTGCGCGGCTTCCTCTACGAGTTCTGCGTGGGCCTCTCCCTGGGCTCGCACGCGGCCATCGTGGCGGCCTGCGGCGTCGGCCTGGAGTCGGCCGACTCCTACAGCTTCCTGACCGAGCCGGTGCTGCACGGCGATCTCATCGCCTACATCCGCCCCAAGGTGGGTCGGCCCGGAGCTGGTGGGGGGCGGTGTCTGGCACGGACGCGCCACCCAGCCTGGGCCTAAGGAGTCACCCTCAGGGCAGCCTGATGCGGGTCACCCTGCAGGGGCCCCACCGTGCCCGCAGGTCTGGTGGGATGGACGCGCTCCTCCGAGTCCACGGCTGTCACAGAGGAAACGTGAAGCCTACCTCACAGGCTCACCCCAGGCCCACGGGGCTCATCAGGGCCAACCAGGCCTCTGTCGCCCTGGGCCTGCTCTCAGGGGCTAAGGACAAGCTCCAGGGCCAGCCCTGGTTGGTGGGCTGGGGAGGTGGAACCCCGATGGTTGTCCCCGGGCCTGAGGACAAGCCCTGGGCCTGGTTCCTGACGCCTGTTCCCGCAGGTGGGCCTCCCGCAGCCGGCTGCCCAGCGCTGCGCGGCCCAACTGGCCTCGGCCCTGGAGCACGTCCACTCCCTCGGCCTGGTGTACCGGGACCTCAAGCCTGAGAACGTGCTGGTGTGCGACCCCGACTGCCGGCGGGTCAAGCTGGCGGACTTCGGGCACACGCGGCCCCGGGGGACCCTGCTGCGCCTGGCCGGGGCCCCCATCCCCTACACGGCCCCCGAGCTCTGCGCGCCCCCGCCCCTTCCCGAGGGGCTGCCCATCCAGCCCGCCCTGGACGCCTGGGCGCTGGGCGTCCTGCTCTTCTGCCTTCTTACGGGCTACTTCCCCTGGGACCAGCCGCTGGCCGAGGCCGACCCCTTCTACGAGGATTTCGTCGTCTGGCAGGCCTCGGGCCAGCCCGACCACCGGCCTCGGCCCTGGCTTGGCCTGACGCCCACGGCCGACGCCCTGCTGTGGGGGCTGCTGGAGCCCCAGCCGCGGAGGAGGAGCCCCGTGAGCTCTGTCCGGGGCTTCCTGGGGCGGCCCTGGAGGCAGCGGGAGGGGGAGGCTGAGGAGGTGTACCTCGGGGAGGACGAGGACTCGGGGTGAGGAGGGCGGGGCGGGGGTGCCCCCTCCACTTTGGGGGGCGGCTCTTGGCTGCTCTGCCGTCTGTCTGCCTCCTGTCCTCGCCATCTGTCTGTGGCCTCGCCCGGGGGTCTCTGAGTGGCCCCGTGTCAGTCCGCATCCGTCCACCTTCCTGGGCTGGGGAACCCACGGCCCCAACCCCAAATCAGCCAGGCCGCCCCCGCCCCTCGCCGCTGCCCTTCCTCTGTGACGCTCCTTCCCGTCTAGCCACATGGCTGCCTGCATTACCTGTCCCGGTTGTTCTGTGTCTTCTGCCGGAGTGTGGGCTCCCGGAGGCCCGGGGTCTCGCCGGCGTCCCCTCCGGTGGAGCCCACGCACAGGGGCAAGCGTGCAGTGCAGGCGGCCCACGGATAGAGTGCACGGCCTATCCCTCCGGTTTTGCACGGCCCTCCTGCACACACCTGTGGTCCTGCCCGTGTCTCTCCGCTCGCTGGGCGCCCTCCACTCCCCGCCTCACTCCCTCTGCCCCTTGTCCCACCAGTTGGGTCTGCGCCCTGTTAGTGACGCGTTTTTGTCTTTCTCACTCCAGCTGCTCTCTGCAAATAAAGTCCTTCTGGTACTTAGGTCCCTGTGATGCTGTTGGTCTGTCAGCCTGGGACAGAGAAGGCCGGCATGTATGTCTGTCTGTGTGTGTGTGTGCATGTAAGTGTGCCCTGAAGGGCATGTTGTGGAGGAGAGACAGAGAAGGGAGGGAAGAGAGGCAGAGACAGAGAGAAAGGGAGAGACAGACAGAGGACGACAGACAGAGAGAGGCAGGAAGAAAGGCAGACAGCGGTCCCTCTGGTGGTCCACGAGATGCTGGCTCTGCGTGTGCGTTTCTGAGTGTCCCTGGGGGTGAGTGTGTTTGCACCTGCTCTGCACAGACATGTGTGAGAAGGAGAGAGATTAAACACCGGAGCTGGAAAGTGCCTTGCTGTTTTCGGGCAGGAACTGGAACGTGCATTTCTCAAGTTCCTATCTGAGACTTGTGTGTATTTGTGTGTCCATGAGCACCCATCTGAGCCCGTGTGTGTGCAGATAATGGTGTGTGTGTGAGTGACAGAGAGACGTGAGGACTGAGTGTGTCTCACTCCACGTGGACGACAGGAGTTGCGTGTTTTGTGAATCTGCGAGCCCCCGTGTGCTCAGGGAATTGTGTGACCACGTGTGAGGGTCGAGAGTGGAATGCACCTGGCTGTGTGCAGACACTGGACCCGTGTGTGTGTGCGTGCGTGTGTGTAGCAGGGGAAGCAGAGTCCCAGGCGTGGCTGCCAGTCACCGCTGGGCCCCCCTCTCCTTCACACCTCCCCCCGCCCTCACCCGGCCCCTTCTTGGCAGCCACCCTGTTTGCAAACACTCTCTCTTCCTCTCCGTGGCCTCCTTGGCCGCCCGCCCAGAGAAAGGCTACAACCCAGGCTGGATCGTGTGTCACCCTCTCCCTGGCCCCCGCACCACCCCCCAGGCTCCTGCTGCGGCCGCCGAGGTGTTGTCTGGTGGGGAGGCGGGCTGGTGGAAGGACCCCCAAGGACCCTTTCCAGCTAAATTGAATCCAGAGACCTGGGGACATGGGCTCGTGTCCCGGGCAATCGCGGTGGGCTTCCTGGAGTAGGGGGCTGTTGGAGAGAATAAGACGGTGGGTGCATGGGGGGGGGCAGCAAGAGCAGGACTTCCTGTCCCCTCACCTGTGAGCAGCCCAAGCAACAAGGCCAAGAGTGTGTCCCCAAAAAGCTGGAGGTGGCTGGGGTGGGGTGGCACGAGGTGGGGGGCAGTGAAGAGGAGCAAGGCGGGGCGGAGGGTGCAAATTGGTGGCGGCAGCTGGGGATTAACTGGGAGGAGGTGATAATGACCAGCGAAGGGCCCCAGGAGCAGCAGGAGGAAGGGCCCCGTGGGGGCGGTCATTAAGCATTCCTTAATTACAGGACACAGGATAGCAGATCGTTACACTTTACAGGAAGGAAGCCGCTCACCCCTCAAGCAACTCCTGGTAGGTGGCAATTACTGACGATGCTGGAGGGGGTCCCTCAGACTCTCCCCACCCCAGGGGCGGGCACAGGGGGCCCAGAGAGGCCGAGCCACCTGCCTGAGCTCACACGGCGGGTCAGACGGTGGGAGGATTCTAATCCAGGCCAGCCTTTCAAGGGTCCAAGGTGCACGCTTGTGTGCCTCAGCCGTCAGGGGCTGGAGGCCTGAGCACACATGTGTGGGTGTGAGTGTGGCTGTGTGAGTGTGTGCTGGCGAGGGGGCCACCCCTCCCTTGGAGGAGATAGGAGTTGGGACAGCTACATGGAAAGGAAAGCTGAAAAGCCTTCAGAGCCGGGCAATGACTGGAGTGTGCAGACAGACAGCAACACGTGCTGGCAAGGAGGGGAAGCTGGAGCCCTCCTGTGGGGCTCGGGGAATGCGAAAAATGGGGCAGCCGTTTTGGAAGACCGCCCGGCAGTTCCTCAGAATATTAATTAACTTTGGAGAGACTATGTGTGCGTGCTCAGTTGCTCAGTCATGTCCGACTCTTTTATGACCTCATGGACTACAGCCCGCCAGGCTCCTCTCAGGAGTATTTCCCAGGCAAGAATATTGGAACAGGTTGCCATTTCCTCCTCCAGGGGATTTTCCTGACCCCAGCATTGAACCCGTGTCTCCTGCATTGGCAGGTGCATTCTTTACCACTGAGCCACCAGGGAAGCCCGTGGAGTCACTATCAGTTCAGTTCAGTCGCTCAGTCATGTCCAGCTCTCTGCGACCCCACAAATTGCAGCACGCCAGGCCTCCCTGTCCATCACCAACTCCCAGAGTTTATTCAAACCCATGTCCATCGAGTCACTGATGCCATCCAGCCATCTCATCCTCTGTCATGCCCTTCTTCTCCTGCCCCCAATCCCTCCCAGCATCAGGGTCTTTTCCAATGAGTCAACTCTTCGCATGAGGTGGCCAAAGTATTGCAGTTTCAGCTTCAGCCTCAGTCCTTCCAATGAACACCCAGGACTGATCTCCTTTAGGATGGACTGGTTGGACCTCCTTGCAGTCCAAGGGATTCTCAAGAGTCTTCTCCAACACCACAGTTCAAAAGCATCAACTGTTCAGCGCTCAGCCTTCTTCACAGTCCAGCTCTCACATCCATACCTGACCACTGGAAAAACCATAGCCTTGACTAGACAGACTTTGTTGGCAAAGTAATGTCTCTGCTTTTTAATATGCTATCTAGGTTGGTCATAACTTTCCTTCCAAGGAGTAAGCGTCTTTTAATTTCATGGCTGCAATCACCATCTGCAGTGATTTTGGAGCCCATAAAAATAAAGTCTGACACTGTTCCCACTGTTTCCCCATCTATTTCCCATGAAGTGATGGGATCAGATGCCATGATCTTAGTTTTCTGAATGTTGAGCTTTAAGCCAACTTTTTCACTCTCCTCTTTCACTTTCATCAAGAGGCTTTTTAGTTCTTCACTTTCTGCCATATGGGTGGTGTCATCTGCATATCTGAGGTTATTGATATTTCTCCCAGCAATCTTGATTCCAGCTTGTGCTTCTTCCAGCCCAGCGTTTCTCATGATGTACTCTGCATATAAGTTAAATAAGCAGGATAACAATATACAGCCTTGACGTTCTCCTTTTCCTATTTGGAACCAGTCTGTTGTTCCATGTCCAGTTCTAACTGTTGCTGCCTGACCTGCATACAGGTTTCTCAAGAGGCAGGTCAGGTGGTCTGGTATTCCCATCTCTTTCAGAATTTTCCACTATACAGCCCCACAATTTCGGTCCTAGGTAGATGCCCACGAGAAATAAAAACATGTGTCCACACAAGTATTCATGGCAACATTGCTCACAATAGCCGAAGAGTGGACACAACCCAGATGTCAAGTCGCTGGCAAAGCGATAAAATAAATGTGGTCTAGGAACTTCTTTGGCAGCCCAGTGGTTAGGAATCCACACTTCCACTGCAGAGGATGGGGTTCAATCCCTGGTCAGGGAACTGAGATCCTGCAAGTTGTGCCACATAGCCAAAAAAAAAAAAAGAAAAAGAAATGCAGTCTATCCATACAATGGAATATCACATGAATGCATGTTCAGTCCTATCCGACTCTTTGTGACCCCCTGGACTGTAGCCCGCCAGGCTCCTCTGGCCATGGGGTCCTCCAAGCAAGAACACCGGAGCGGGTTGCCATTTCCTTCTCCAGGGGATCTTCCTGACCCAGGGATCGAACCCGTGTCTTCTGTGTCTCCTGCGTTGGCAGGCAGATAAAGGAAGGAAGCACAGACACACACATCACTGATGAACCTCAAAAACCTGGAGACCATCTGTGGTAGGATTTCTCTGTATGCACAGAGGAAGAAAGCTTAGCGATCACCAGGGGAGATGGGGGTGACTGCTCATGGTACAGGTTTTCTTTTGGGGGGTGGTGATGGTGGTGGGAAAAGCTCTAAAATTAGGTTGTATGAATCTTCCTTAATTCTCTGACTGTATTAAAAAAGTCATCAAATTGTACATACAAAAGGGTGAATTCTGGATGGGCCTAGAGATTATTATACTAAGTGATGTAAGGCAGAGAAAGACAAATACCATGTGATATCATTTATAGGTAGACTCTAAAAAAAAATGATACCAATGAACTAATTTATAAAACAGAAATAGACTTGCAGACTTAGAAAACAAACTAATGGTTACCAAAGGGGAAAGGGGGAATAAATTAGGGGTTTGGGATTAAAATATACACACTATACAGTCCAGTATGTGGTCCTGTGGCTAAGACTCTGTGTTTTCAATACAGGGGCTGGGTTTGATCCCTGGTCAGGGAACTAGATCCCACATGCCACGACTGAGACTCAGCACAGCCAAATAAATAAGCAAAGACCTCTGTGCAGCCCAGGGAACTGTATGCAGCATCTTGTGACAACCTATAATGCAAAAGAATCTTAAAGAGAAAGTATAATGCTCAAGTGAATCATTTCACTGGACACTTGAAACTAACACAACATTGTAAATCAACTATATTTCAATAAAAAATTTTAAAGGGTTAATTTGGCATGTAAATTTCATCTTAATGAGACTGCTCCAAAAAACAAAAACAAAAACACAGGCATTTCCAAGTTCTCACACTGTGACCTTGACCGTGTTCTCTGAGCCTCTGAGTTCCCGTTAAAAACAAAAGGGAAAACCCTGCACTTTTTCTAAAATCATCAAATTCAGAACCTGTTCGTCACACAGGACCTGCTCACATCTCTCTCCACTTTACAGACAAGACTGTCGAGGCCGTACTTTCCAAAGATCCTAAAGTCAAAAGGTGGCAGAGTCTGATTCCAAAGTCTTTGGTCTTACTCCCCAGTCACCCGCCCAGAGTGTCTGCGGGCCTGTGATCACCAAGGAAGTTCTGGCTACACCCCAGCAGGGGAACCCCAAGCTTGTAAGCAGGACCAGTTACAAAAATTTGTGGGTGTCCAGTATAAAGTGAAAATGTGGGATTTCTCGTTTTTAAAAAAAGTTTTTTTTCTGGGATTTCCTTTGTGGTTTAGGGTTTCCTTGGTGGCTCAGATGGTAAAGAATCTACCTGCAGTGCTGGACACCTGGGTTTGATCCCTAGGTAGAGAAGATCCCCTGGAGGAGGGCATGGCAACCCACTCCAGTATTCTTGCCTGGAGAACCCCATGGACAGAGGAATGTGGTGGGCTACAGTCCATGGGGTCACAAAGAGTCAGACACGACTGAGCAACTAACACATTCCCTGGTGGTCCAGTGGTTAAGAATCTGCACTTCCACTACAGGGGCCATGGGTTTGATCCCTGGTCAGGGAACTAAGAGTCGGCATGCTGCCTGGTGCAGCCAAGAAATAGACAAATAAAAAACAATTTTTTAAGAAAGGCTTTCCCCCTCCCTCCCCATCCCCCATTTGCTACTGAATGTCGTGCTCTCTGGGCACCAGGATAATCACGGGCAGACCCTCAAGAGGGGAGGGGGCCGTGGAGCCTGCCTGAGGGCAGACAGCCAGGAATCGGTCATCAGAACCCATCAGGGAAGTGGGACGTTGCGTGAGCAGGCAGAGCCTGCTTCCTTGTCCCATCAGCTTCAAAACGCAGAATCACTGGTCACAAAACACAGAATCAAAATTCACGACCCGCGTCAGGCTGATTAGTAGCTGTAGACCATTAAACCAGTGGGGTTTACACCCAACCCACTCCCTTCTCTGCCTGGGCCAGCTGCGCAAGGCTTCAGAGGCACTGTCCTTGGCCCGCAGTTCATGTTTAGTGCAGACACGCAAATCTCTGGGCTGCACCCAAACGTCACCACCACCCCTACCCTGCCCCCGCCCGCACCCTGACCCCTGACCTGGTTAAAACACAGATGTTTATCCAGGGGGCTCTGGATGGCGCCTGGAATTCTGCTTTTCTAACCAGCTCCTGGAGGCAAGGCCAACGCTTCTGATCTGGGTCACACACACTTGGGAGGTGCAGGGAATGGTGAGAACACGATTTTAGAGTACTGACCCCTCATCCCAGCTGAACTGTCATTAATGCTAAACAGTTGCCCGCTCGATTCCGCGCGGTTTTCCATGTGGCCGGTCACATTGTCTGTGGGGAAATGACAGACCTGTGGCTCCCTCTCCACCCTTTATCTGATTCAGGGGGCTCCCCTTGCTCCTACTCTGCAGACAGTGTGTGCGTGTGTGTGCGTGTGTGCGCGTTTGTAAACCATGAATGGGTGTTAATTTTGTCAAATGTTTTCTCTGCGTCAAGCTTGCTAGGCCTCTGCGGCTACTGTTTTGGGCTTGTTGCAAGCTGGCAGGCAGAGGAGCGGGCTCAGATGTCCTGGGGGAGGTGTCCGGGGTCAGGGCCAGCAGTAGGTGGGGGCTGGCCGCCCATCCTGGCCGTGGGCCCCGGGGCCAGATGTTTGGGCTTAGCTGCCTGGCCAAGCGGGGATAAAGTGACCGGATAATTAAGCACCCGCTTCTTCGGGGCTGGCAGAAGGTAGCAGAGGGTGGAAGGACCTTGGGCCTGGGTGCCCAGGAGACCCTGCCACCCTGGCTTGCAGACAGTGGAGTTGGGATTCTGAACCCCCAGGGGGGACCCTCTGGGGAGGGGGACTGGAGCGAGGGTGCACCCGCTCCCATTTGGGGATGAAAGAGGGTGCCTCTGGCTTCTGAGTCAGGGTGCCACCCTTGGAACCCCGACGAGCCGGGACAGCAAGGGGAATGCAGGCAGACACCCTCCCCAGGGCACCAGTCAGCAGTTATTTAAGTCTTAGGGCTTAATGGGACCCGGGGGGAACAGAGGATTCTCAGCGTGCTCCTTGGTCTGTTGGCAGGGGCAGACAGCTCATCTACCAAGACCCCCAGACAATATCCCTCCCCACCCCCAGCAAGTAACTGGACCCTGCTGGCCTTTGCCGGACCGCGGGGGCGCCAGCTCCATGACCTTCCAGGACCTCGGAGCCAGGCTCCGATCTGGGGACAGGGGGGAGGAGGGGAGCTGAGGGACTGACACCGTGTTATTCTGAGGCCCTGCAGCTCCGCTGTGTGACCCTTGGCAAGGAGCTTGGCCTCTCTGAGTCTCCAAGCCCTTTCCGAAACAGGGGTCAAGTTGCTCCCTCTGAGGGCTGTAGGGAGGGTGGGAGGTAGTGTATTAAGAGTCCATAATGGCGCTTCCCTGGTGGCTCAGTGGTAAAGAATCCACCTGCCAACTCAGGAGATGCCAGTTCGATCCCTGGTCCGGGAAGATCCCACATGACCTGGAGCAGCTAAACCTGGGCACCCCAACTACTGAGCCTGTGCTCTAGAGCCCAGGAGCTGCAACCACTGAGCCCACGTGCCTCAGCTTTGGAGCCCACACACCCTCAAGCCCGAGCTCTGCAACGAGAGAAGCCACCACAATGGGAAGCCCTGCACCACAGCCAGAGAGGAGAGCCCACCCTCTGGGACTAGAGAAGGCCCACGCAGCAATGACGACCCAGCACAGCCAAAAACATATTAAAAAAAAGAGAGAGCCGCCAGCGTGTGGGACACAGAGAAGCGCAGTGAGAAGTGGGCGCGACCCCTCGTGAACTCTGTCACCGCAGTAATGCTTCTAATCCTCACGACCACCCCAGGAGGCAGGCGGCCTCTACTCCCCCCTTGGACAGATGGGAAAACTGAGACTCGAGAACAGAAATTAACTTCTGGAGGCCCCACAGCCAGCACATGGTCTTGAAGCCAGGGTGAGCTGACTGGGGGCACTTAACACCTTGTGAGCAAGGGCCCTGGGTCAGACGGGCCTGGGTTCCAGTCACGAGCCTACTGCATACTCCCTAAGTGACCGGGGCACAGGACCAAACATCTCTGTGCCTCAGTGCCCTGGCCTATAAAGTGGGGACAATTCGGTAATAACGATCACATGGAGAGCAGGTGTCAAGAGGCAGGCCTGTGCAAAGCACTCTCGCATAGGCACTAATCTATCAGCTAATCATCACAGCAGCCCCACGAGCTGTGTATTGTTACTATCCCCCTTTAAGAGATGGGGAAACTCAGACCAAACAGTAACTGACTCATGGTCGGGCCCGCAAGGGCTCAAACTCAGGCATTTAGGCTCCAGAGCTCACCCACTCCCTGCCGAGCTGTGGAAACAGTACCTTCCTCAGAGGCTGTTCATGAAGATACAATGACATCACGCGTGCAAAGCCCTCCGCACAGAGCCTTACCCGTAGGAAGTGCCTGGAGAACATTAGTCATTATTACTATGACGATGAGTTCAGTCATTCAGAAGGTATTAATAGAGGGGGCATGTTGTGTCAGGCTCCATTCTAAGAGCTGGACATATGTCTGTGAACAAAGATTTCTGCCCACGTGGGGCTTCATTATCGCCATCGTCACTGCTATCGTGATTACCACCGTCACCTCCACTATCCTCACCATCACGACCATTGTCACTTCTATCATTCGTCACCATCATGATAGTCATCACTGTGACCTTCAAGACCGTCACCGCCACCGTGATCACCTTCAGCACTCTCGTTATCTCCGTAATAATCATCACCACCGTCACCACCACAATCGTCTTCACCCTCAGCAGCATCATCCCCATGACCACTTCCATCGTCGTCATCACATCACCGTCACAACAGCTATTGCCATGATCTTCATGACCGTCATTGCCACCATAATTATCACCATGAAGATCATGCCTTCAGGATAGATGTCACCACTGCCTTCATGACCATCATCACCATTACGGTCACCTTCATCGCCTCGTGTGGTGCCTGAGGCATTCACAAACAGATCGGTCTTGTGATTCCACCTCCCCCAGTGCCCCAGAAACATCATTCACACTTTGTGTTTAAGTAGATACTTTGGTTTTCCTTTGTTGTTGTTGTTGTCTGGGAGTGGCTTAAGTCCCTCCGATATGGTCACACATCTCCCCGCAGAGGCCTCTCTTCCCACTCAGGGGTGGTAGTGGTTGGGACAGGTGTGGTGGGGGGCCAGGCCACCTCTGCCAGTCTCTTCACAACCTCACCCAGCTGCCCCAGACCCTGGGCGGCCTCCACCAGCTGGGTCAAGCCCAGTCCCAGGGCTCGGCGCTCCTGTTGATCTCGCTCCAGGGCCTGGTTCAGCCTCTGCAGCTGGCTGCCCACGTCCCTCACAGCGGCCACCAGCTCTACCAGAGCAGGCGGCTCACAAGCCATGACCCTCACAGGTGGCACTGGGACCTCACAGGGGCCCAGAGGGCCTGAGCTCGGACTGGGAGCTGGCCCGAGGGAGAGGTGGTCAGGGGGCGGCTGATCCAAGGGGTGGGCCATAGGAGTCAGATGGTCCCCAGATGACCCCACAGGGGTCACAGTGGAGTCAGGGGCTGAGTGTGGAGTCTGGGTAGGTGGAGAGGTTACTTGGGGGCTCTGGCTTGTGGCTGGCTTGAAGTTCTCAGTGGACAGTATATCCATGCCTGGGACAGGAGACAGGCTAGACTCCGAGGCTGGAGATGTGGAGGGGCGATGGGGCCGCGTGAAGGTCAACTGGGGGTGCAGGCTGGGCTTCACTGGAGAGGGAGAGGGAGGTTCTGTTTCCAAGGAAGTTAGAACAGACTTGGCAGTGACCACAGGGGCTGAGGTGAGGTCAGGTGTCATGGAGCGGTAAGTAGTGGTAGTGAGGTGAGGGGTTGTGGCAGGGTGAGGGGTCGTGGTGGGGTGAGGGGTCGTGGTGGGGTGAGGGGTTGTGGCGGCGTGAGGGGTTGTGGTGGGGTGAGGGGTGGTGGCAGGGTGAGGGGTCATGATGGGGTGAAAGGTCGCGGTGGGGTGAGAGGTTGAGGTAGACTGGGGAGTGGTGGTGGGATAAGGGGTCGTGGTGGCGTGAGGAGTTGAGGTGGGGTAAAGGGCAGTAGTGGGGTGAGAGGTCACTGTAGGGTGAGGGGTTGTGGTGGGGTGAGGGGTTGTGGTGGCGCGAGGGGTTGCGGTGGGGTAAAGGGTAGTAGTGGGGTGAGAGGTCGCTGCGGGGTGAGAGGCCATGGTGGAGTACTGGATGGTGGTGGGGTGAGAGGTCGCTGCGGGGTGAGAGGTCATGGTGAAGTACGGGGCCGTGGTGGGGTGGGAGGTCACTGCGGGGTGAGAGGTCATGGTGGAGTACGGGGCCGTGGTGGGGTGAGAGGTCACTGCAGGGTGAGAGGTCATGGTGGAGTACTGGACGGTGGTGGGGTGAGAGGTCACTGCAGGGTGAGAGATCATGGAGGAGTACGGGGCCGTGGTGGGGTGAGAGGTCACTGCGGAGTGAGAGGTCATGGTAGAGTACGGGGCCGTGGTGGAGTACGGGGCCGTGGTGGGGTAAGAGGTCATGGTGGAGTACGGGGCCGTGGTGGGGTGAGGCCCTGTGGATCGGTCTGGGGAACTGGAAGGTTCTGGAACTGAGCTGGGCTGTGGAGACGTGCCCCGGCCTGGGGCTCTGTCCAGCTCCGGGATCAGCCCTGAGGTAGGGGAGAGGCGGGTCGCCGCCGCCGGCGCAGAGGGGTCTGAGGTGAGCTCCTTGGGCGCGGTGGGCGGTGGGGTGGGCGAAAGCCCAGAGGTCGGCGCGGGAGCCGCGGCGGCGTCAGGGGAGGGCCCGGTAAGGCTGGGGCTCGTCGAGGTGCGGTGGGTGCTCCCCCGAGAGGCCGCGGCCGGGCTGGGCGGCACCGCGGAGGGCGCGTCAGGGGTAGCCTCTGGAGTTGAGGCCGCCGTGCGGGTGAGCGGCGGTGCTGAGGCGGACGTCAGCGGAGGTCTGGCGGACCCCGGCGCAGCGGAGGGGGCTGGTGAAGGGGCGGCGGGCGCGGTCCTGGCCGTCGTGGGCCGCAGCCGGCGCTCTGGCCACGGTCTCCTCGGGGAGCCTGGAGGAGGAAAGACAGACGGCCGAGGTCAGGCCGCCCCGCCCACCCCGCGGCGCGCCCCGCCCTCCAGATGGTGCGACCAATGGGGAGGCGCGGGGCCTTGCGGACGTCACGGGTCGCCGGCAGACTTCACCCGGCCCTAGTGCCCCACCTCCCCGCATGCTCGGATGTCTCCAAGCGCCACCTGGCGTCCTCTCCTCCGGAGTATGCGGGGATGGGCGCGCGGGGAGAGGGGGACACGGAGGGGTACCCCGGGATGCAGGATGGTCGGGGGTAGGTGTGCGCAGGGGGTATGGGAGGATGCGGGAGGGAGGCAGGGGAATGCAGGCCGGGGTAGGGGATGCAAGAGGGGGCGGAAGGGCAGAGATGGGGTGAAGGGAGATAAAGAGGCGAAGGGCATGGGAGGTGCTCGGAGGGAATGTAGGAGAGGTCGGAATCAAGTAATCAAGACCAGTATCTTTTTGCCCTATTTTTAAACAATCAAAACGAATGCGAAAGATCCACAATGAACAAAAAGTTAAAATTTAAATTCAAGGCAGGATCCGGACTACCTCACTGGAATCCCCCCTGTAATTGGCTGTCAGATCCTGGTGAGGTAGGTCGGATCCAACTTAAGTTAAAATTTTATTTACTTCATCGTGGACTGTTTTTGCATTCGTTTCTATTTTTTTAACGTATGGTATTAAGATTTTATCTTCATTACAAAATGCTTGGAATGCCCCCAAATTTTAGGCCTGAATAGGAGAAACCTTCCCCTCTTCCGGGCCCTGCTTCCAGGTGAATGTGATTTTTAACCTCTTTTGACAGATGAGGGAAATCAGGCCAAGAGGGCAAGTAATTTGCCTGAGGTCACACACTGACACAGTTTGACGGTTATAAGACAAAGTCTGAGCCCAACTCCTCTGCATCCAGAGTCTGGGCCAGTAAGTGTCACTTTCTCAGGGGTGGGAATGTTCTGTGCTGGCCAGTATGGTAGCCGCTGGTCACCTATGGCTTCTGAGGACTTGAAATGTGGTTCAACTAAGGAACCAAATGTTTCCTTTTTCAATTTTTAACATTTTTATTTTGGCTACACTGGGTCTTCGTTGCTTTGTGTGGGCTTCTCTTGTTGGGGAGCACAGGCTCCAGGGCACCTGGGCTTCAGTACACGTGGCTCTTGGGCTCTAGAGTGCTGACCTCCATAGCTGTTGCAGTCAGGCTTAGTTGCTCTGCGACGTGTGGAATCTTTCTGGACTAGGGATCAAACCCGTGTCCGCTGCATTGGCAGGTGAATTCTCATCCACTACATCACCAGGGAAGTTCTCAACTTTTTTTTCTTTTTTTACTTTGAATGAATTTCTTTTTGCAAATTTGTAAATTTTTTGTATATTTTTTTAAACAACAAAAAAGTATGGAATACTTCACAAATTTGCATGTCATCCTTGCACAGGAGCCATGCTAATCTTCTCTGTATGGTTCCAACTTTAGTATATGTGCTGTGGAAGCAAGCACTGTAATTTTTTAAAATTCAAGTATAGTTGACTTACAATGTTGCATTAGTTTCAGGTGTACAGCAAAGTGATTCAGCCATCGATAAACATATATTCTTTTTCAGATTATTTTCTCATATAGTGTTTGTCGCTTAGTCATGTCCGACTCTTTGTGACCTCATGGACTGTACCCTGCAAGCCTCTTCTGTCCAGGGAATTCTCCAGGCAAGAATACTGGAATGGTTAACCATTCACTTCTCCAGGGGATCTTTCCAACCCAGGGATCAAACCTGGGTCTCCTGCATTGCAGGCAGATTCTTTATAGTCTGAGCCACCAGGGAAGCCCTGATTTTCTCGTGTAGGTTATTACAAAGTAGTGAGTATAGTTTCATGTGCTAAACAGTAGGTCCTTCCTTTTTCAAGGTTTTGATTAACTTAAACAGCTGCCTGTGTTGGTAGCTACCATATTGAACAGCACAGCTTGACTGAATTCCACTTTTCTGCAGGGTCCCTGAGGTGCATCATGTCCCCCTGCAGGGTCAGAGGAACAGTTAAGTAAAGGGCTTGGCCTCCAGCCAGGCCACCCGGATTTAGACCCCAGATCCGCTGCTTCCTAGCTGGGTAACTGTGGACAAATGACTTAACTGCCTTGAATCTCAGTTTCTTCCCCTTCTGTAAACCACAGACAATCCATGTATCTCCCCTATAATCATGAGGGTTCAGAGAGCCTGTGCATGCACAGAGCACTTACGCAATGCCAAGCAGGCAATAAGCATTCTCATCATTACTTATATTGCCATAGGCATTGATATCTGTGCCTCAGTTTCTCTCATCTGTGAAATGGGCACAATTATAGCACCTACATCACTCATTAGGCCTCATGTGGCTGCTACAAGGATTAACATATATAAATGTTAAAGACTAGTACACATAAAGTGCACAGAATAGTGCCTGACATATGATATATTGCTCCATAAATGTTAATGGTTCCTAGTTATCATTTCAAGAATCTCAGCTTGGTTTGTGTTCACAGGGGCTCAGATACCTAAGAGGTATTGACTTAATTTTTTAGACCCAAGGAACAGTTAAGCTAATCATACTCCCTTGTACATTGTCATCAATAGTTCCTGCAATGTCTCCTCTTGTTTTTTCTCCTCTTTAACCCGAATCTGCATTCCCCTCATCTTCTCCCATAGGAACCTCCAGTCTAATGTGTTTCATGTGTGGTCTTAAACAATATAGAATGCATAATGTTTTCATGTTAATATAAAAGTGTATGTATATTTTAGGGTTTGTGCTTTTAATTTCTGCAAATAACATTCTGCTGGAAATCTCATTCTGTTTCTAGACTTCTCAGTATTATGTTGTTAGTACCTATGCGTGTTGCTGTGTATACAGCCTGCCATTGCTTGAGCCACTGCATAGAACTCCATCAGGTGTAACCATTTCTCTTCTTCCTTACCCTTCTCTTGGACACTTAACTTGCCTCCTGTTCCCTAATACATCCTCACACATATTCCTTTGTAAGCCTGTGAAAGAACTTCTCTGGATGCGAAGAGCCGACCCATTGGAAAAGACCCTGATGCTAGGAAAGATTGAAGGCAAGAGAAGAGGGTGACAGAGGATGAGATGGTTGGATGGCCTCACTGACTCAATGAACATCAGTTTGAGCAAACTCCGGGAGATAGTGAAGGACTGGGAGAACTGGCATGCTGCAGTCCACGGGGTTACAAAGAGTCAGACACAACTTAGTGTCTGAACGACAACAACAAACAGATCTAGGAGCAGGGTTGCTGGATGGTAATGTATAATCATATTTAATTTCACTGAACAGCTCTAGGTTGCTTTTATTGATTGCTCTATCCAGTGGGGATACCTGTCTCCCCAAACCCACACCCACAACTGGTATTATCGACCTTTCCATTTTTTCCCCACACTTGTCAGTTTTCATTTGAATTTTCTGACTCATTATGAGCGTGAGCATTTCCAGACATACTTGTTGAGCATTTGGGCTTCCTCGTCTGCAAATTGCCTGTTTGTACCTTTCCCCCCATTCTCTTACAGGATTTCCTGTCATTCTTTGGTTGATTTGTCAGAGTGACGAACATGGTACAGGTGAGGGTTTCTCCACTTCGGCCCTGTCGACATGTGGGGCTGGCCGGTTCTTTGTGGTGGGGGGTTGCTTGTGCACTGGAGGGTGTGTAACAGCAGCCTGGCCTCCACCCACCAGGGACCACTAGCCTCCCCGCTCCCAGCCGTGACAACCTGAAATGCCTTCACGTGTTGCTAGTTATCCCAGCTGAAGACCACTGGTGTCGACAGAAATATATTCAGGATATATTTCTGCCTGGTCTTTCTGGGGTGAGAGCTGGGTCACCACTGGGAAATCTGCAATCCACCTCTCCATTGTGTTGTTGCTATTTCGCTGCTGAGTTGTGTTCGAATCTTTATGACCTCGTGGACTGTAGCCCTCGGGGCCCCTCTGTCCATGGGATTTCCCAGGCAAGAATACTGGAGTGGGTTGCCATTCCCTTCTCCACCACCTCTCCAGCCCACCCCACAAACACCCTGGCCCCGCCCCCCCAGCCACATGCCTCACCTGTGTCCCCACGGAGCCGGGGAGCTAGAGAGGGGTGGCCTGAGCTCCTGGTGGTGCCAGGGGGGCCAGGCGTGGCTGCAGTGGGGGTCTCCTTGGCCGGCACTTCTCCTGAAGGTGTGTCCCCCGTCTGGGAAGGCTCACGACAACCCTTGTCACCTTGAGAGAAAATAGAGAGAACCGAGTAATCCCTGTCCCTGTGTTCTGAGGCTTTCTTCCCAGGATGCCAGGTTTTAGGAGGACTCCATCAAGAGGAACACAAATAGGAACTGCTTTTCCTGTTAAAATGTCAACCCACCAAGGGCAGGCATGCTCCCTGGGTCTGTGTGTTCTCGAAATGTGTTCTAAGAAATGGCTGCATGCTCGTTCGTGGTTCATTAGTGTGTGATCAATTTGATTTTTTTCATTAAAACATACACTGAAAAAAGGGGACCTGCAGGGCTTCCCTGGTAGGAGTCTGCCCCGCAGCACAGAGGATGCTGGGGCACAAGTGGCACTGGCAGGCAGATTCTTCACCACTGAGCTGCCAGAGCAGCATCCATCTCTCTAGACATTGTCCAGCTGCCCTCACAAGTGGGTGCAGATCCTCAGGCCCACCTTTATCCCACATCCTTGCCGCTGAAAGACATGTTAATTTTTGGCAGCTCGTGGGGAGCTGGTGGGCAAAGAAGCTGCAGGTTCCCTACAGAGGACCAACCTGAAGCCCAGAGAAGGCAAGGAGTTTTCCTAAGGTCACACAGATAAGGAGCAACACTGGGCTTCAGATCCAACAGGCCTACCTGGTTCTGAATGGAGACCTCTTTCCCTGTGGGGGCAGAACGAAATAAAGCCCGAGGCTGGCCTCACCCCTGGTCACTCCCACTGCCTGGCTCACTCCACTCCAGCCAGGCTGTGATCCGTGCTCTTCTCTCAAGACCCCACCACAGGGTCTTTGCACATGCTGACCCCTCTGCCCAGAAAGCACCTTTAGCTCCCTCTCCAGGCTGCCCATCACAGCTGACATCTTTACAATGGACCACAGACCTCACCCCCTGCTGCCACCCCCACCAAGCACTCCACTTCTGCCCCACCGACCTCACTGCTGTGTCTCCAACCAGCTGAGCACACTCCCACCTCATGGCCTTTCCACGTGCATGGTGACTGCACTTTACGGAACACTCTCCAACCAAGTATTTGCATGGCTTTCCCCTTCTTTTTTTCCTTTTTCCTTTCATTTTATTTATTTTTGACTGCACTGCATGGCAGGTGGGATTTAAGTCGCCTAACCAGGGACTGAACCCTTGCCCCCTGCATTGGCAGCACCAAGTCTAAACCACTGGACCAGCAGGGAAGTGCCCCCGACCTCTTGAGCCTGTCACTTAACTGGCATTTCCCTAGTAAGTCATCTCTTGACCATTCCATTTTAAATGACAATTCTTCACACACACCCCTTTCCCCTCTCTTTCTCTGTCCATCCATGTTCCGAGGGGTTGGGACTCATGCCTGCCACGCGGCAATCATCTGAGGCATGAACTAATGCCTGTGTCTTCAAACTCCATCATCCAAGAAGCCTCAAGAAATGTTGCTTCAAATGAAATGGAAAGAGAATTCAACCTTCATAAGCTTCCATCTTCACCTCCTGTGCACTCTCTCTAGACCTACATGGCGAACTCGCAATTGTTTGTTCATTCATTCATTCAACACAGATCCCATGGAAGACAGACTAATGCTCCCCACAGATGGCCAAGCTCTAACCCTCAGAAGCTGGGAATGTCACCTTTCATGGCAAAGACTTTGCAAACTAAGGATCCAGTCCTTGAAATGAAGGGTTTATCCTATATTAACCCAAGGGGATCCAATCTAATCACACAAATCCTTATTCTTAGAGAATCTATCCCAGATGTGAGTTTCCCTGATGGCTCAGTGGTAAAGAATCTGCCTTCCAGTGCAGGAGACATGGGTTCAATCCCTAGGTCGGGAAGATCCCATGGAGAAGGGAATGGCAACCCACTCCAGGCAAGAGGAGCCTAGTGGGCTATGGGGTCCCTCTAGTCCATGGGGTCACAAAGAGTTGGACACAACTGAGTGACTAACACACACACAAATCCTCACTGTAGTGACAAATATATAAAGATAAAAAAAGGACCACAGAGATACAACATTGCTGACTTTGAAGATGGAGGAGGGGGCCGTGCACCAAAGAATACGGGAGCCTCTAGAAGCTAGAAAAGGTACAGGGAACAATCTTTCCCTTCAGCCTCAGAAGGCCTACAGCCCTGCCATCTTTGATTTCAACTAGTGAGAGACCCCAGCAGGGCTTCTAACCTCTAGAACTGCAAAATAATAACCTTGTGTTGTCTTAAACCCCAAATGTGTGGTGGTGTTATGGCAACAATAGAAACTGACATAGCTAAACCTGAGACAGCTAAAAGTCTAGCGGAGATGACGTGTCCTCAACTGGCAATGCAATGTTCTCAGCTCACGTCTTTGCTGCTCAGAGAAGCCCCTTCCTCATGCGGTCTCCTGGTGGAAAGGATGCCATCTCCTCTGCGAGCTTTTCCCCACTGCTCTACTAGAAATAATCGCTGTGTCCCTGGGACTCTACAGCTGTTGTTCATTTACGGTAAATAACTCTAACAAGCAGTGCATTGCGGTTTTAAGTGATTTCACACACATTTTGCTCGTTGAATTGGGACCTGAGGTCACCCAACCCCTTGTTCTAATTCCAGTGTAGTCACAGCTGGAAGCCTGGCAGCCAGACTCCAGAATTCACACTTGTAATGACTTCAGTAATTCCCCAGTACAACAAGCAAACTGTGTGCGAAATCGTTTAAAATGGATCTCAGCCGCGGCTCCTGAGTTCAACTTCCCCGAGCCTCATTCCCCTCCCTCCCACCTGAAACACAAGGGCAACACCAGGACCTATGAAAGTGTGAAAGTGTTAAGTCGCTCAGTTGCGTTCTACTCTTTGTGACCCCATGGACTGTAGCCCGCCAGGCTTCTCTACCCATGGGACTCAGGACTTATGTCACCCAGTTAATGGCATGTGTTCCTGGCACTGTCCTTGACTCTTTCCAGGGATCCTGGAGCTGCGGCTTTGTTTTTTTCGAAGGAATTGCGGCTCAATGAAGCGGAGTCATTTTTTTCAAGGCCCCCTTGCTAATAAGGACAGAATTTCTGTTTTTTCCACCTCTCCCTACCCAACCCTGCCCCTCTTCCCAGTACTAAGGTTGCACATATGACCCCCGGGATTTCCATCGCGCAGTGCCTAGTTTCGTACTTATCTGTGCTCACACACCCGCTCTCCCCCACCAGGAACAGGTGCGCTCTCAGGCCCGGACACGGCCGCCCTAAAAGCTGCGGGTGCCCAGCCTCCGACCGTCTCCGCCGCGAGGGGGCGCGACGAGACAGGGAGGCGGCGCCCGGCTGCAGAGACCGAAGGCTCTGGAATCCTGGCCACACGGCACGGAAGAGCATCACCGCTGGAAACTGAGCCCTAAGTCACGAGTCCAGTGCCCCCCAGCCCAAATCTCGGCGGCTCCAAGGCCTGCTAAGCGCCCCCGCCCCATCCCTCTGCCGGAAGCACGACACCCAAGCAGAAGACCGACCCGGGCGGCAGGGTAACTATAGCACGCTTCACGCTTTTATAGCTGCGGGAGTGAGCCAGCTGGCCAATCAGGAGGCGTACCAGCGCCTGTGACGTCACATGGCGCTGGGCCATTGACGTTCCCCCTCCCCCAGCCCCTGCAGCCGAGGCCCCGCCTCTCTCGCCGAGGCCTGCGGAGTGCGCATGCTTGCTGAACGCGCGAAAAAGGCGGGATCCCGCGCGGAGAGAGCAAAGCACGCGACACCTAGGGGAGGGGAGGGGAGGGGCCGGGAGAGCCGGGCGAGGCAGCCGGCCCGTGGGAAGCGGAGGGACGGAGGGTCGGCGAGAAGGACGAGGACACGGAGGAGGGAAGAGGGGAGAAGCGGCCGCGGGCCGCGGGGTCGGATGGAAAACAGCGAGGAGGCTGGGCGTGGGGTGAAAGAGAAAGGAAGGCGGGGGAGAGAGAGAGAAACTGGGAGGGACAGGAGTGATGAAGCGTGGCCTTGACAAGGAAAGAAAAAGTGAGAAAAATGGTGAGAGGCCGATGAGCGATAGAGACGAGGACGGGGAGACAGAGGAGAGGAGGAAGACAGACACGGAGCTGAGAAGATAAAAGTGACCGCAGAAAGCAGGATGAGGAACAGAGAAGCTGAGCGTGAGACGCTGAAAATGACAGGAGGAGGGGGAGGAGACAGGAGACATGAGGAGAGACTGGCCGAGAAATAGAGGGAGAGACAGAGCCGGGAGGGCGGGCAGTGAGAAATGGAAGGAAAGAGCCAGACCCGGGGCGGGGATAAAGAGAAGCTGACAGAGGTGGGGGAGGGCGGAGAGAAACAGAAATGGTGGGACATGAACTTGATGAGGAAAGAAAATGAGAAAGGTGACGAGAAAGAGACATGGTCGGTGAAAAAGAAAAAAGAGTGATCGAGATGTGGAGGGTGAGAAGTTGAAAAAAGTGAGAAAGAGGAGTAGAGAGGGATCAAGAGAGACTGAGCAGAATGGAAGTGATCACACACACATGCGCGCGCAGGCACGCACAGAAATAGGCATCATCTGAGCCGGTCAAGGCCCCGAGTGTGACCACACAGATGGAAGAAGGAAAACAGGCCACAGGGAGACAGAGGCCATGGGGCAGCGGGGGCTGGAGCTGTGGGCTCCCCCCCACCCCAGCCCACCTCCGAGCTTCAGCCCCGCCAAGACCAGAGCCTGCGCTGGGAGAAGAGGCTTGAGGGGCTGGGGTGGGGCGGCGGCGTGGTGACAGCGTGTGCCTCCGTGTGGGGACTGGGGAACTTCTGCGGAGGCTCTGGCTCCAGGGACACGGGCTTTGACATCAAGGCTGATTCCCGGAGGCCCCAGAAGGTCTGCAGGAGGACTGGGGGCCGGGCTCTGCTGAGCCTGGCTTGATTCTGAGACTCAGGGCGGGGCAGAGGAAGGGATCTCCGCTTCTAGGTTCTTGTAGGACAGTTACACACGAGCCCAGGGAGGGAAAGTTCTTAGCATCTCTGGAGCCGAGGAAAACCTGCCTGCGGCCTCGGAGACCCGGATCATTTCATTCAGGAGGGTCTTTCAGGAAGCCCGGCAGGGAGACACCCCTCCCCACCCCATGCCTGCCCCTCACCTGTGCTCGGAAGGCGCCTCGTTGCTGGGGCGGGGGCCCCTGGGCTCCCCGTTGTTTCCCGGGAGAGGGTGTGTCCGGGCACCCCTGCAGCAGTGGTCCCCTTGGCCAGGTCCTCCCCTGAGGTGGGGTCCCAGGTCCAGGGGGGATAGTCCTCCTCGTCTGCGTAGCCTGGGGAGGAAGAGGGGAGGGGAGAGCCCGAGCCGACTCAGGGGTCCTTGCCACTGCTGCTCCCCAGGTCCTTGCTGGGATCTCCTGGCGCGACTCGGGCCCCTGCGCCCCGCTCCGCGCCCCGCCCCCCATAGCGGTGCAGGTGACGTCCCGCACCCCGCCCCCCGTACCGGTGCAGGTGAGCCCCACGTCCTCCTCGTGGTCGCAGTTGTGCTGTCCCCACGCCCGGGCGGGGCAGTCGCTCAGCGAGGATTCACTGCCCTTGCAGCCCACGTCGTCCAGCCAGATGGGCCCGGTGCCGGGGCCGTAGTGGGTTTTGCCCACTCGAGGCCGGATCCTCCCGCAACCCAGCTCCCAGCAGGCCACCATGCCGTCCCGCAGGTCCCAGCCGTCATCACAGACCGTCCCCCAGCGTCCGGCATGCCACACCTCCAGCCGCCCGGCACACCGGTTGGGCCCGTCCGCCAGGCGAACCCGGAACGGGCCTGCTGGTGGGAGGCCCGGATCAGGAGGGGTCAGCGGGGGTCCCCAGGGGCCAGCCTCACCCTTCTCATTCCTCTGCTCACCTGCTGCGCTGGTGGGGGAGGGCGCCGGGTCCGTGGATGACTCTGGAGAACCTTGTCCTGGGAGCTCAGCGGATGGCTCCGTGGTGGCCTTGGAGGTCACCAATCGGGGGCCCTGGGTGGTGGGTGTCGCCACAGTCTTAGAGGTCCGTTCCCGGGGGGCTCGAGAAGTCCGAGTCGCGATGGTGTGCGAGGTCAGCCTGTGGGGGGCCTCTGTGGTCAGCCTGGTGGTAAACTCGGAAATGGGTCTTCGGGAGGCCCCTGTGGCCGGGGTGCTGGAGGTGGTGGTCCGTGAAGTCAGTTCTGGGGGACTCTGGGTGCCCGGGACCCTGGAGTGCTTAGTGGTTGGCATCACCAGGGGCTGAGTGGTCGGTCTCTTTGCGTTCTTGGTCACCCACTTCTTGGTGCTTTTGGGCATCTTCCCTGGGGCCTTGGTGGTGGTTTTCTCGGGGATGCTGGGGGTCCGCCTTGCAGAGGGCTTGGTGGCCAGCTCCCCTGGGAGCCAGGCATCTGGGTCTCTGCCCAGGCTGGGGATCCAGCTCCAACTGAAGGGGTCTGAGATGGAGTCCAGGCCGGGGGTTCCTGGAGATGCGGGGGGGGGGGGGAGGGGGCAGGGGAGACAGCAGACACCGTGAGGTCCCTGGCCAGGCCCCGCCTTCTCCTGTCTCCCCCTGCAGGCGGCCACCTGCACCCAGCCTCACTACAGGTGGCATCCGAGTGTCTCCTATGAGTCAGGCCCTATGCCGGGCCTGGGGCACTCTGTGGCCACAGCGGCCCCATCCTGCTTCTGAGCACTTGCGGTCCTGAGCTGCCTGCCCACCTTCGCCCCCTCACCCTGACCCATCCTATCTACCCAGCCGCTGCCCTTCTCCTGTACCCACTGACTGGTCACCACCCCTCCAGTGTGGCACCAGGTCACTCCCCAGCTCAAAACCCTTCTGTGGCTCCCAGGGCCTTGGAGAGGAGAGGGAAAGAGGGAAAGCGCCCCAGCTTCGGGCTCCCAGCCTCCACGGCTCACCCAACATCCTTCTGGGTAGCACAGGGAAAGTGGCAGACGCCGTGGGTGATGCTGAGGGTGAGTGGTGCAGGACGAGAGTCAGTCTGGCCCTTCACCCCCGGCTGCTGGAGGCAGGGGGGCCCTCCCAGCCCTGGCAGCGTCCTGCCTGGTTGGAGTGTGTTGCTCGCCTGGGGGCCCGGGACCACCCAGGTCATCTCTGCTAATAGTGTGGCTCGCGAGCACCCATGGGCCACCAGCCACATGGGGGGATCCAGCTCTGTCTCCGGCTGGGAGAGCATCCCTGGCTGGCAACACATCACGTGTCTTTGCCAGGGCAGGGGGGGGGCGGATTAAGTGCTGTCTGCACCCCTCCCCTGGGAGAGGAGGCTTCACAAGTGTCTCTCCTGGACCCCGCCCCAGCTGCCTCCTCCCTTGTGATGTGAATCTGGGCCCTTCCGCTGCAGGAAACCCTGCTCCTGAGTCTGACATCTTCTCTGACCGTTGTGAGTCTTTCTAGAAAACTGTGGAACCTGAGGGTGGTCTTGGAGAACCTCCCAAGTGACAACGTGTCACACGGGCTCGCGTCTCTGTCCCTCAGTAAGCCCCGGGCCTCTCGGAGGCCAGGGCTGCATTCCTCGTGCTCTGAGTCCTCAGGACCTGGCTCAGAGTCTGCCACTGGATGAAACAAGGGCATGTGAGAGAGCACGGGCCAAGGCTGAGCTCGCTTTAGCTGGCCCTCCACCACACCGGCTTCTCGCCATCTCTCAGTGTCCCTGTGCCTGCTTCCTTAAATCTCAGGGAGGACAGAGCTCCCCTCCAGGAGGGAGACCCCGTGATTCTTGGTAGGAAGGAGAGGAGGAAGGATCCCAGTTGTGCCTCTTAGTTGCTGTGTGACCTTGGGCAAGTTACTCAACCTCTCTGCGCTGCAGTATCATCACCAGGCTTCCCTGCTGATGGTAGGGAATCTGCCAGCAATGTGGGAGACCTGGGTTCCCTCCCTGGGTTGGGAAGATCCCTTGGAGGAGGGCATGACAACCCACTCCAGTAGTCTTGCCTGGAGAATCCCACGGACAGAGGAGCCTGGTGGGCCACAGTCCATGGGGTTGCAAAGAGTTGGAGACAACCAAGCAACTGACACTAACAACTTCATCAGTAAAACTGGTGTGTGTGCACGTGCACGCATGTGTGTATGTGTGTGCGCACGCACACACTCAGTCGCTCAGCTATGTCTGAATGTTTACAACCCCATGGACTGCAGCCCACCAGGCTCCTCTGTCCATGGGATTTCCCTGGCAAGAATACTGGAGTGGGCTGCCATTTCCTTCTCCAGAGGATCTTCCCAACCCAGGGATGGAACGGCATCTCCTGCATTGGCACCGCATTCCCACCGCACCTCCTGGGAAGTCCCTCACATGGGCATAACGTCCATCAGTTTGGACTTATCCTGAGGTGTGAATGGGGTCACTTGTGTGAAAACAGCCCTCCCCTGGCAGGGGTTAGGAGGCAGGCACTCAGTCAAGGTTAGTGCCAACGTCAGTTCCTGTTCCATCCTCCAAGAAGCCGTCCAGGGACCAGCAGACCGCAAGGCCTCCTCACCTGTGCAGGTGACTCCAACGTCCTCGTTGTGGGCACAGTTGTGCTTCCCCCAGGGAGCGGCGGGGCAGTCGGTGAGGGCAGCCTCAGTCCCTGCGCACTTCACATCATCCAGCCAGATGGGGCCGGCGCCCCAGCCGAAGCGGCCAGCGGTGGGGTCCGGTTGCCGCGGCCCCCCACAGCCCAACTCCCGGCAGACCACGGCCGCGTCACGCAGGTCCCAGCCATCGTCACACACGGTGCCCCAGCGTCCGGCATGCCACACCTCCAGCCGGCCCGAGCACCTGCTGGGCCCCGCCACCAGGCGTAGCTGGGGGGACCCTGGCGTGGGGGGAACACAGAGAATTCGAGGCAGGCCATCCTCCGTCTTCACTCCATGCATTCACCCAGGAGGAGACCCCAGCTGGTCCAGACGCTCTGTGCTCTCCTCCCCTCTGTCCTCTGAGCAGGAAGGGGGCGCCCGGGGGGCTGTGGGAGGCGGAGGGCAGGAAACCTACGCTCAGCCCCACACTTGGGGTTCAGGGGAGGACAGGGGGCTCACCGGCGTCCGGCCCAGGCTCCTGAAGGGCGGTCGGGAGGGCGGGCGGAGCTGAGACTCCGGGCATCCGCGGGGCCTGGCTCGCCATGGGGGGTGGGGGCCTGGATGCGGCCCCCCTGGGCCCCGAGCTGTTGCTGCCCACTGCTGGGGCCGTGGGAGGGACATACCCGAGAGGCATACCTGGGGCGCGGGAGGGGAGAGGTGACCACCAGCCCCTGCTTGTAGCGGGCGGCTCCCCGACCACCAGCCCAGGACCACCATGGGGGGGATTCACAGGTGAGCATGAACGGGGCAGGCAGGCCACCTGGACAGAAGGAGTGCAGACACCTGGGAGAACCCTCCAAAGACACACAGTGCCCCCAGCTCTCGCCCCTCTGGGCAAAGCCCCCCAGGCCTCCCTCCCTGGCCTCTCCCCGGGGCCGCCCTCACCGTCACACACGGCCCCGGCGTCCTCCCGGTGGTGACAGTCGTGCTGGCCCCAGGGCCGTGCCGGACAGAACCGCAAAGCCGTCTCGTTCCCCCGACAGCGCAGGTCATCCAGCAGGATGGGCCCCGCGCCCTCCCCGAAGAAGGCACCCCCAGGGGCGGCCAGTGCGCCCCCGCAGCCCAGCTCCCGGCAGGCCACAGCGGCGTCCCGCAGGTCCCAGCCGTCATCACACACGGTGCCCCAGCGCCCACCATGCCACACCTCCAGGCGGCCGGCGCACCCGTGGGGCCCGTCGGCCAGACGCAGCCGGGGGGCCGGGCCTGGACATGGTGGGGGGAAGCAGAGAGGAGGGAGACTGCAGTGGACAGGCAGGGACTGCGGCTGCGAGGATGGGGGAGCGGGCCTAGGCTGCATGTGGGTCCTGCTCCACACCCGGCACGGGGCTGCAGAGCAGACCCTCCACCCTCACAAGTGAGGAGGAGGCTTTGAGATGGGCCATCTGGATGGACGGGGTGTGGGGACTGGGGGGTACCTCAGGAAAATACACAGGAGCCCCCAGCTCTCACTGCTCTGCTCCAGGCCCAAGTCTTGCTGCAAGGGTCCAGCTCTGCTCCGTCCACCGCCCCGGGACGTCCCTGCCTCCCCAGAGGAGAGCCCAGGGCCCACCTGCGACGCCCGCTCCCACCTTCCCAAGCAGGTCCCCATGCCCCAGCTACCTTCCCCAGGCCTGCAGGGCAGGGCTTCTCAGCCTCAGCTCCCCCGACACGGGCGCTGTCCCGAGCACGTAGGATGTCCAGCGGCCTCTCCCCGCTCCACCCCAGATGCCTGCAGCCCCCGCCCCCGAAAGGCCTGCAGACCCTGCCCCTGTCACCCTAGCAGTGGGGCTGAGAGCTAGGCTAGAGGTTTGGGGGCATTTCTGTTAGGTGTTTGTGGTCTGAGAGCAGGGTCGGCTCTGGGCAGTGTGGAGTCCATCTCCAACCCCCAGTTGGTGTCTAAAGGGGACAGACCAGAGAGGGTACCACACCCCTGGCCTGCATCACCCAGCTGCATGTGCAGAGCTCCCGCAAGGCCCACCCCAAGGAGCAGAGATGGAGGTAAGTCACCAAGCTCCCAGCCCCTCGATGGGGTTCACAACTTCTCGCTGGAGCTTAACCGCCCTGGGGAGCCTGGGCTGACCTTCCAGGCTTCGGAGGCCACAGCTCGGCCCCCACGGTACAGCCCTCAGAGGGGCCAACCTCACGCCTCCGGGTCCCCCGACCTGTGTCGCCCTGGTCTCCACCCCCACCACACCCACTACGCCAGACCCCCACATAATCCCTCTGTGCCGCCGGCTGGATGTCAGGCTCTGGTGGAGCCTCTGCTCCATCTGGGAAGGGTGGAGCAGTGTGGGTGGGGGTGCGGCTCAGAGCGGCTCTCAGCTCCCTCTCCCAGTTCCCACCCACTCCCTGAAGCATTTCCTGGCCCCTGCGACTTAGCAGCAGCCGCAGCCCCCTGCCGGGGTGGGTGGGCGGATGTTTGCCTCCAGTGGGTCCTTCAACGTGAACACCCGGCACCTGTGCGCCGGCGCGCCCTTTGCCGGCTGCGTCCTCGTCCCGCAGCGCGAGGACTTCCAAGTCGGGAGAGCGAGGTCTGGGTCAGTGCCCGCGTGCATGGGGCTGAATGAGTGTGGGTGTCGGGAGGAAAGAGGAGGGAGGGAAGAAGGAAAAGAGAAAGGAGGGAAGGGGGCTGGACACCTTTAGGTGAGTGGTATGGAGGCGTGGCCCGCCCGCGGGAGGGGCGTGGCCCGCGTGAGGCGCACATACCGGTGCATACTAGTCCCGCGTCCTCACTGTGGTCGCAGTTACTCCGGCCCCACGGGCTTCGGGGACAGTCTCTTAGGGTCTGCTCTCCGCCTCCGCACCCCACGTCGTCCATCCACACGGGCCCCGCGCCCGGGCCGAACCGGGCCCCCCCGGGGGCGGCCAGCGCGCCCCCGCAGCCCAGCTCCCGGCAGGCCACGGCGGCGTCCCGCAGGTCCCAGCCGTCATCGCACACGGTGCCCCAGCGCCCGCCGTGCCACACCTCCAGGCGGCCGGCGCACCCGTGGGGTCCGGAGACCAGGCGCAGCCGCTCTGCGGGGCGGGCGGGAGGGGGCACTGTGAGGGGCCTCACGGAGGCGGCTGGTACACCCTCGTTTTCAGTCTGGGAAGACGGAGGCCCCGAGGTGTCAGGGGCCTGAGATCGGCCTGCCAGCCGGCCAGTGGCAAAAAGTCAGGGTCTGGACAGGGCAGGGGGCCTGGGGGCCTGCCGGGAGTGGACACCCGGGTCTACTGACCAGGCGGGGAGCCTGGGCCTGACTGAATCCCTGGGGACCCGGTGTCCCCCTACCCTGCACCTGGGGGTCCCCAGTTTGGTCCGGGGGGCCTAGGGCCTGACCCCTCCTGGAGTTGTTGCAGACGGAAGGCCTGCCTCGGACTTACCCTGGCGGGGGGCTCCAGCAGTCAGCACTGGGGCCCTGGTGGACTTGGCTAGCTTGGGTGGCCGGGGGCTCTTCTTCCGGGAGCCGTTCTGGGAGGTCCCAGCTGGGTGGGGGGCTGGGTGAGGAGGGGGACAGTGGGGGGGGGGGTTGGGAGCTGAATGTGGAGCTGCAGGTCAGTCCTGAGAGCCCCCAAGGGTCTGAAGGGGGCGTCGCGGGGGCCGCGGGGAGGGTGGAGGAGTCGGGCCTCTGTCCCTTCTCCCTCACGGCCAAAGCAGGAGACACAGCATGGGCGGGGGCTCACCAGGCGTCACCGGGGGCTCCTCAGAGCTGGGGCTCAGCTCCCCTGCCAGCCCCGGCCAGGGGTCCCCATCCAGGACTGAAGGTGGGTCGTCGCGGTCCCTGGAGTCCATCCCACGCTGGCCTTGGGGACAGCAGCATGTGGCTGGAGGGCACGCTCCCTCCTGTGGGCCCGTCTCAGGCCTGGGCTGCCCCACCCCACCCGGTGTGGCTGAGTTTCACCCAAGCCAAGTAGGTTCCCTATCAGTTTTTACCCTTGCCTTCTTCTCTGTGAAAACAGATGGTTTTTGCTGACACAGTTGATAAGTGGCCCATGAAGAATAATAGTCAGGAGACCCCCTGAGGGGAGGGACAACCCCCAGTTCCAGTCTGTGCAGACCAGCTCTGGCCCCTGGAAGTCTTCCTGCACCTCTTTAGGTGGTGGGAAGCACACGTGCAAATAAATAACTCTGGCTTGCCACCTGCCTGATCCATTCTGTCTGTATGAGTTCCCCGTGTGAGTTCATGATAAACTTCATAGTTGTTCTTTACAGAGCTGCTGGCTTTATCAGTCTTAAAGTTCCTTCCAAATAGTTTGGAGGATGTTCTTCGATATCCCTGATGTCCAACACCCCAGTGCTATGGAGAGGGCAGGCCCTGAGTGAGGCAGGGGTAGGGTGTCTGGACTTCTGGATGCTCAGACTTACTGGGCTGAGGGTCCCTGGGCATTGAGGAGGTTGAGGACCCCTTACCTGCACAGACGACCCCCGCGTCCTCCTCGTGTGAGCAGATGTGAGCCTTCCAGCCCCGGTGGGGGCAGAGGCCCAGCTGCCGCTCCCCGCCCCGGCAGGCCAGTTCACTCAGCCACACGGGGCCTGCGCCCTCCCCGAAGAAGGCGCCCCCAGGGGCGGCCAGCGCACCCCCGCAGCCCAGCTCCCGGCAGGCCACGGCGGCGTCCCGCAGGTCCCAGCCGTCGTCACACACAGTGCCCCAGCGCCCGCCATGCCACACCTCCAGGCGGCCGGCGCACCCGTGGGGCCCGTCGGCCAGACGCAGCCGCTCTGCGTGGGACAGAGGAGAGGCTGTGACACCTTGCAGACCCCGGGGCCGGCAGGGAGGACAGGGGCTGGGGGCTGTCCTGCAGGGGCGTGACCAGGAGCCCCTTAGGAAGCAGGAGGCTGGGTGACCGCGTGGTCCTGCGGAAGTGCTGTGGGGGTCGTGGGCACATGCGGGTAGCCAGGGTCCAAGGGAGGGTGAGCCTGGGCCAGGCATGGGGAGGGCCTGGAGCTGAGCGAGCCGACGGGAGAAGTGTTTGAGGCCACTTACCAACAGCCTGGGTCCCCATCAGAGCCACTGGAAGGGAGGTTGGAGGAGTGAGGCAGTGAGGTCCTCCTCGCTCCTCTGAACCAGAAACCCTGCCGCCGCGAAGGAGGACTCGGGCCCAGCGCCTGGCCAAGGCTCAGGTCCTTGGGATGGGCGGAGCCCGGAGGCCTCAGGTCTGGGCAGGGGGCCAGGCCCTTGGCGCTCCCCCGTGGGGGCCTGGCTAAAGGTGAATGATGGGTGAACCCCCCATTGCAGGGTCAGGGCTTATGGAGGGGAAAGGAAGTCCTGGGGTCTCCTGAGAGGGTGGGACCCAGGGTGCCTGAGGCCGGGTCCCTGGAGAATCAGAGGCAGCCAGATGTCCTGTGCCCGCCCCCCACTCCCCCGCCCGGCACCAAGCCACAGGGATGGGGCCCTGGAACAGAGGCTTTGCAGTGGGCCAGCTCGGGGTCAGAGGGCCGGGCCTGGGCCCCTGAGTCCCGGAGGAGGGGAAGGGTCACTCACCAAGGAGGCAGGCCAGGACCCTCATGTTTGCAGAGTCAGGGTGGGGACAGGGTGGAAGCGGACGGGAGCAGGAGCAGGGAGGAGGGGACGGCGGACGCGGGAGGGAGGGGAGCGCCTGCCTGAGGCGCCCTGGACCCGGGGAGGAGCAGGCGGGGGCTGGACGCTCTGCAGGAGGAAGAAAGGCTGCCGAGGAGGCAGCAGGGGACAGGAGCAGGGCGGGGAGGGGGCTGGCCAGCTGCTGAGGCCTGGGGAGGAGGGCGGTGGCGGGCGGGAGGGAGGGTGTCCAACTGCAGACACCCACACAGGAGACAGCCGGCTGGCCAGGAGTGCTGCGCTCAGAGAGGCTTGGGGGGCGGCAGGCTGCAGGGGAGGATCCCGACAGGGGCGCCCACCCATCTGCCTCTTCTCCTATCCCACCAGGGTGGCGTGCCGGAAGCAGAGGGCTTTGAGGGTGGGCTCACATCAGCTGCCGGGGTTGGGGACCTGGTGCAGCAAGAGGACTTGCGGGCAGACACCAGGAAGGACTTCCTGGACTGGGAAAGGAGACAGAGAAACTCCATTCCCCCTGGTGGATTTGCGGGCAGAAGTCATCAGCCCCCTGGGTGTCTCCCGATAAAACTGGGGTCAGGGGTCAAGAGGGCCAAGTATCAAGACTTGGGTGGGGGAAGGAGACTGCAGACACACACACGCACACACACAGGAACGCACTCTTTCCCTCTCTCTGCACTAAGCAGCTGTGAGGCGGAAAAAATTCGGTAATGGGGAGCGTGAGTCAGAGGGCTGGCAGGGAGCTGGGCTGCCTGAGCTCATTGCCTCCCCTGCCCCCAGTCCAGCACACTCCCCCCCCAACAATTACTGTCAACCTCGTGAAGGAGGGGCCAGACAGAAGTGGGGGGTGCAGAGGCAGACTGGAAAAGGCATCAGAGAGAAACGGGCGCGCAGCAGTTACAGGCTTTATTAACAAACGGGTGTAAAAAACCAGATGGGTCTGGCCGCCCCTCTGGGCTCCCACCTTCCTGGGGAGGGGGGCTGGCCGGGCGGCCCTGTGCCCACCACCCCCTCCCTGGGGCTCTCTCCAGGCAGACAACCCTCCCCGGCAGAGGCTTCACTCAGCCCCTTCTGCCTCTACAGCCGCACCCCCTGCAAACAAGGGCATCGCCCCCCACCCACTCGCCCGGGGTGGGGGTGGCCCTTGTCCCTGCCCCAGTCCCAGCCCGGGTGTGGGGCATGCTTGCTTGGCTTCCTCTCCTGCCACATGTCATAGCGCAAGCGACACAGGCTTGGCAGACAGACAAAGAGATTTCTCAGTGCAGACAGAATCTGAGGCAGGGCTTGGACGGGTTGACCTCTCTAAGAAGTTCAAACACTAGGGACGGGTGTCAGGCTGTGGCAGGGTCTCTTGCCCTCTGCTGGGCCCTGGGTGGGTGGGGGTTCAGGGAGGGAAGGTGTGGAAGTGCCTGCACACAGTGGGTGCTCACTGAGTGCTGCCTGTCCTCCCTCCCGGGGGTGGAGTCACAGTTCCTTGCTGAACTCCCGCACCAGCGTGTAGCCCATGCAGCCCCAGCTCCCCTCGGCCTGGTAGCCACAGCCCTCCAGCAGCCCGGCCACACCCCACGCCGCCACGGCCACCGGGACCACGAGGCGCGGCCGGGGCTCCCCCATGCCGCCGGCCCAGGCTCGCGCCCGGGCCTCGGCAAAGGCCAGCAGGCGCCTGCCAACGCCTCGGCGGCGGTGCCAGCGGGACACTGAGAGGCGGGTGACCCGGGCCCCGTCCCCGGCACCGGAGCCTGGGGCTAGGGCCAGGACCCCGCACACGTCCCCCGAGCCCCGCACTGCCACCCAGGGCCCCCCGAGGCCGCCCGGCGGGGGCAGCGAGCCCCAGCGGGCCCGCAGGCCCAGCTTCATGGCCGCCACAGCCAGGAACACAGGCAGGAGGAGGGCCAGGGCGAAGGAGGCCAGGACGAAGCGAAGGCCGCTGCTGGCTGCAGCCAGGAGGAGCAGGGCCGGCGGCCGGGTCAGCGCATGAAGGGCCACGCGGTTCTCCGTGTCCTTCACGCCAGCCTGCAGGCAGGAGGGGCAGTCAGCATGGGAGCTCCCGCGGGCGGCAGGCAGTGGGGGCGGAGGCAGGCCCTGCCCAGGGTGGGAGCAATCGGAGGGGACAGCAGTGAGCCAGGGCTTGTGGCAGGCGTGCCACGGCGTGAACACACCTGCTGGCTGGCACACTGGGCTCTGAATGAGGGAGCGGGTGAATTAGGAACGGTGGGCGCTCCGGGTTCAGTGGAGTTGCAGGCATGAGGCACCAGGGGAGGCTGGACAGAGGAGTAGCCCCACCAAGAGAGGAAGCTGGAAGGGGCCTCGAGGTTCTCAAGGGCCAGGCTTGGAGGAGTAGGAGGCTGGGTCATAGGGCTGAGGGGAAGTGGGAAGATGGAAGGGCTTCTTGTACTGCGAGGGGCACGGCTTGGATCCATGGTGGGGGAACACTAACATCCCGCGTGCCATGTGGCGTGGCCACACACACACACACAAAACCGTTCTCCATCCCCAGGTTAGGGAGAAGGCACTAGAGACAGGAGGGTCCAAGACTGGAAGAGTCTTAGGAGCAAAAGATTGCTCTCCATGGTTACCGCTGGCTCAGGAGGGTGGCTGAACCCACTCGGAATGCCACCCCGCCCCCTCCCGGGCTCCCTGGTGCCCCTCATTCTGTCCCCGCCCCTCCAAAGCTCATTGGTGCCCCCATTCTGTCCCCACCCCCTCCCGGGCTCTCTAGGGTCCCGCCCCCCACCCCGAGTGATACCCTCGGTCCCACGCCCCCGGGCTCTGTGGCGCTGCTAATGGCTCTCACCTTCAGCATCTCCAGCACTAAGGGTTTCTCATCTTCCCTCATCTCCCGCACCGACAGGTGGCTGGGGGCCATGGCAGCCCCCAGGTCGCGCGCCCCCAAAGGAGCAGGCGTGCACCTGGCGAAAACAAGCAGGTCAGTGTCAGGAGGGCACCTCTTGCCCCCCAAAGCGCCCCAGAGCTGCGGGCCACCAGCGGCAGCGTGTCCAGGTCAGGACGCGGGATGCTAGCGGCCTCTAGGCGAAGGCCGAGACACGACAGGCTTCCCGGTCAACCCAGCGACCTTCCGAAAGCCTCTCGGGTGAAGCCCGCCCCGGCGGTATTTGGCGACCCACGCCTAAAACCCTGGTGCCCGCCAACACCTGCCAACACCGCGCTGCCTCCAGGCCCCGCGGCTGCCATGGGGGTGAGTGAACCCCCCAGCCAGGGAAAAGACCGCGCTCCCCGCCCCCAGCGCCCAGAGCGCCTCTGCCCCCCGGCCGCCCCCGAGCAGCGCCTGTCGCAGGAACGAGGACTTGCAGACACCTCTGTGGGTCGCTCAGCTTTTGACAAGGTGCGGGGGGCGGGGGGGGGGCCGGGTCGGGGAGGGGTCGCCGGCGGAAGTGACGTCAGACCCGCGCACTGGGGGCGGGGCGGGCCTGCTCTCGGCCTTAGCAACCGTTGCCAAGCGTCTGCCCAGACGGGTTAAGAGCCGGGAGGAGCGGCGGGGAGAGCGGGGCGTGCAGGACGCTGGCAGGGGAGGGGGCCGGACGGAAGGGCCTGGAGCTTTGGACCGAGTCGGGGGCGGGCAGCGGGGCTTACCCAGCGCGCGCCCCGGCCGGCTTCCCGACGGCCCCTGGTTGCCAAGCGACCTGAGCGCGGGGGTGGGGCCGCGAAGGCGGCTTGATTCCCACTGGCTCCCAGGCTTCCGCGGGCGCGGCCGCGACAGCATCTCGGACCCACAGGTTCCCAAACTGCCCACCCGGGTTGTCAGTGACAGTCGGGATACGCATTCCCGCCATCCACCTATTTTTCTGTGCGAGGAGGGGTGCGGTGACTTACAGAGAACAAGTGGCAGAACCAGGATTCCAGATTCCAGCGCCTCCCCCATAGTGACCGTTGCGTCCCTTTCCTTAAAAAATGGATAAACAGGGCCCCCACATAGGAGCAGCGGCTGGCCCCAAGACGCAAAGTCACCTGCGAACCAGGAAGCAGGAAACTCCCCAGATCCCAAGTGGTGGCTATGGTCATTGACCTCCCACCCCACCAATAAGAAAAAACACACGAGAGGGGATTCTGGTCTTTATTAGCAAGCCCAGCCTGCAGCTCCCCTCCCCTCAGCCTAGCTCAGGCGGAGATGGGGTCGGGGCCTCTGTGTGGGGCGGAAAGAGGTACCGGTGGTCCGACTCAAAACGTGTGCACCAGCTGGACCGCGGGCAGAGTCTGGACAATCTGGATGGAGGGCAGGCCCTGTGGGGTCACGCCCCCGGGTGCTGCTCCTGCGGGGACCACTTGTACCATCTGGGGGCCCGGGGCCGCAGGAATGCCCGCGGGAGCAGAGGCTGGGCCAGGCGGTGGGGGCGCCAGCAGCTGCAGCGCAGCGGTGCCCCCCCCAGCGCTGCCGCTCTCTAGCAGCTCTGCGGCCGGGGCGCTGCGGATAATCAGCAGCTTCTGTCCGGGCGGGCCGGAGGCGGGCGGCTCGGCCAGCCCCGACGGTAAAGTCTCTACCTCCTGCACACACAGCTGGGTCTGCTCCCCGTCGGCCCCGCTCAACACCAGCACACTCTGCAGCCCCTCCTCCGTCTGCAGTGTCTCAAAGAGCACATCTGGGACCACCCCCGGGCCGGCCTCGCCCTCGCCAGACTCCCCTGGGCCAGGGTCCGCCAGCAACTCCTCGGGCGCCCCGCTCTGAACCACCAGCAGATTAGGCGCCTCGGTGGTCACGGCTCCCCCGCTGGAACTGGACAGCGGACCCGTCACAGGCTGGAGCTGGACCGTGGTCACCTCCTGGGCCGGCTGGAGCTGGACGGTGGTCAGTTCACGAGCTGGACGAAGGGGCTGGAGCTGAACCCCACTCACTTCCTGCGGGCCTGTCTCCCCACCCGCCACGTTCTGCAGAACTATGAGGCTCTGCCCTCCCACGTTCGCCCCAGCGTTGCTTCCTCTCTGCACGCCTAAACCCCCAGAGCCTGGCAGCCAGACTACTCCAGCGCCCGGCCCAGCTTTCCCCACGGCCCGCGGGCCCTGCCGGGCGCAGCTGCCCCCACCAGCGGGGCTGGAGGAGGGCAGCAAGATGAGCTTGGGGGGCGCGGGCGGGGGCGGGGGCGTGGGCGGCTGGACGCTGCTGGGGATCAGCTGCAGGCCCTGAGCTGTCTGCACCAGGAGAAACGTTTGCGAGTTGGGAGCGGCGGGGCCGGGGGCCGCGGCCGGGGCCGTCCCCCCGGCCACCTCTAGGGAGAGTGTGGCCTGGAGGTGGGGGAGGACGTGCACATCCTGGGTGGCCGACGGGGCAGGGGCGGCGGCCAGCGGGGCCTGGGGCTGGGGGCCGGCCGCGGGGGCCGCGGGGGCATGCGTCCTCAGGTGCCGCTGCAGGTAGGCGGCCATGACGAAGCTGCGGCCACAGACCGGGCAGGCGAAGGGCCGCTCGGCCGAGTGCGTGCGCTGGTGCAGCAGCAGGTTGGAGGAGTGCGTGAAGGTCTTGGGGCAGAGCGGGCAGCGGAAGGGCCGCTCGCCCGTGTGCACGCGCTGGTGCTGCCGCAGGTTGGAGGTCTGTGCGAAGCTTTTGCCGCACACGCCGCAGGCGTGGGGCCGCTCGCCCGTGTGCACGTGCCGGTGGCGCCGCAGGCACGACGTGTTGCGGAAGGCCTTGCCGCACTCACCGCAGGCGTAGGGCCGCTCGCCCGAGTGCAGCCGCAGGTGGTACTGGTAGTGCGAGGACCACTTGAAGGTGAGGCCGCACTGGCCACACGTGAAGGCGCGCAGGCCCGTGTGCACGCGCTGGTGGATGGCGAGCAGCGATGAGCGCTTGAACGCCTTGCCGCACTCGCCGCACTGGTAGGGCCGCTCGCCCGTGTGGTCCCGCAGGTGGTAGCGCAGCCCCGACGAGCCCTTGAAGGCCTTGCCACACTCGGCGCACTTGTAGGGCCGCTCCGCCGAGGCCGGGGCGGGCGCCGGGGCCGGCGGGCCGGGCGTGGGCCCCAGCGGCTCCTGGGGGCAGGTGACCTCGGCGGCCTCAGCCTGGGGGGGCGGGCGCCCGGCCGCGGCCTCCTCCACGTGGCTCTGCTGGTGCGCCAGCAGGCTGGCCAGCTGTGGGAAAGCGCCGTCGCAGCTGCCGCAGCGGAACGCCTGCCCACCCACCGCCCCGTGGCTGTGCTGGTGGCGGGAGAGGCCGGCCACCGTCCGGAAGGACTTCCCGCAGGGGAGGCAGGCGAAGCCGGGGGAGGCGGCGGCGGCGGGAGCGGGCTGGGGCATTGGGGACTGCGTAGGTGGGGGCGGCGGCGGGTCGGCCTTGGGCACCTCTGAGGGTGCGGCGGCCGGCGGTGGCGGCGCCTCGGGCCCCGGGCACGGCTGGTGCTCCAGGAGCAGCTCCTCGCTGCCAAAGCCCAGCTCGCAGCCATCGCAGCGGTACACCAGCTCCACCGTGGTCTCGGCCGCCGCCAGGAAGAGCTCGGGCACCACGGGTGGGGGCGCGGGCGGCGGCGGCGCAGGCGGGCTGGGCGGCGGCAGGGGCTGCTGCAGGTAGGCGTCGGAGACCAGGACCTTGCTGCCCGCTGCGGGCTCGCGCGGCGGAGGGCCAGGGCCGGCGCTGGGGGCGGCGGCGGCGACAGCGGCAGCGCCATGCGTGCGCTGGTGCAGCAGCAGGTTGGAGGAGTGCGTGAAGGTCTTGGGGCAGAGCGGGCAGCGGAAGGGCCGCTCGCCCGTGTGCACGCGCTGGTGCTGCCGCAGGTTAGTGCTCTGCGTGAAGCTCTTGCCGCACACGCCGCAAGTATAGGGCCGCTCGCCTGTGTGCACGTGCCGGTGGCGCCGCAGGCTGGACGAGTTCTTGAATGCCTTGGGGCAGTCGGGGCAGGGGTAGGGCCGCTCGCCCGTGTGCTGCCGCAGGTGGTACTGGTAGTGCGAGGACCACTTGAAGGCCAGGCCGCACTGGCCGCACGTGAAGGCGCGCAGGCCCGTGTGCACGCTGCGGTGGATCTGCAGCAGCGACGAGCGCTTGAAGGCCTTGGGGCAGTCGGGGCACTGGTAGGGCCTCTCGCCCGTGTGGCCCCGCTGGTGGTAGAGCAGCGCCGACGAGCCCTTGAAGGCCTTGGGGCAGTCGGGGCACTTGTAGGGCCGCTCGCCCGTGTGCGTGCGCTGGTGGTGCAGCAGGCGGGACGACCAGCGGAAGGACTTGCCGCATTCCCCACACTCATACTGCGCTGGCGGGGCGGGGGCCGCGGGACCAGGTTTCTCCCCGGGCCCCTCGGCGGTCGAGGCCGGCGCCATGTCCGCGTGGGAGCCGACCATCACACCTGGGGAGGGACGCGGGGTCAGGGCAGGCCGGGGGCTCCCCGCACCTCCACTCACATGCCGGACCATCGCAGCCCCACACCCACAGGCTGGCCTTTTCAAAGGCAGGGAGCACCTCCCTTCGGACAAGGAGGCTGCCTGCGATGGAGGCCTTGGGTGCTCAAGGGGAAACTTCCGGCACAGTGGGAGGAGCTGGTCACTCCCTGATACGGCCATCCCCTCCCGGAGGCGAGAGCGTTCTCTGCCCCGTCCCCCTAATGACAGGCGTGTCCTTAAAGAACACCAGATCTCTAGCACCCTGGCTCTGGATCCTTTGGCCGGCTCCCTCTAAAGACCTCCTCCTCCATCCTGCCTTAGTACCTGCTCCCACTTCCGAAGCCCCTTACCTCTAGACAGAGCCTCTCAGACACCCACTCTCCACCACCACGCATCCTGCTCCAGCGCCCCCTCCTGGCGCCTGAACCCCGAACCAACCACTGACCCTGCAGCCCGCACCCTAGCCCCTATCCAGACCCTAGCCACCCCCTTACTCAGCATACGTGCTGCCGGTGACCTGAATCCGCCTGGCCTCTGTCTCCCTGCGCATCCAAG